TTAATATAATTTAAATGCTGGTTGCACCTCTTTTTTATTTCAATATACAGGTAGGGAGCTAAATCAGTCTGTGGATGGGTATATCCAGGGTAAATTTAGATTTTTTTGTTTCTGAAAATGTGCTGTTTGCGGTACTTTGTAGTAGTTGAGATGCCAGGAGTGCTTATTGTAAGTTGTCCAACTGCTATAGAATGGTTTGATTTCTTAACTGAGGTCCATTGGGCAATATCTCCACTATTGATTACAGAGAGCTTCAAGTTCCTAAACAGAGCTCAGTTGTGCAGAGCTGAGTATGGCTGAGCAGGGCTCAGTAGAGCTAGGCAGGGCTAGCTCATTCATGAAGAGTGTCAGACGATTGCTCTCAGTCAATGAGCTAAGCTCTGCACTGCTGAGTGGAAGTGGTAGTAGTGGAAGCGAGCAGTGCCTGTCGGACCACAAGCAAGAAGACAAACTGTTCTGTAACAGCTTGAGGGCTTACTGGGGGGTGGGGGTGCCATGGCATTCCTAGAACAATAACCACTAAATCAGATGTAGTAGTTATAATGCGAAGTGTGTTCTTTTAAATGAATAACTATACTTTGTACAGAATTTGGGTATTTTAAGGTTTAGTACAGATCAAGGCAGGTATATAAATTCATAATTTTTTTAAGGAATTTTTTTTTTTAAACAAATTCTGCCTTACTAATACTTCACCAAACAAGTTTAAGTAAAATTTAAATGCAAGCACAAATAAATAATAAGTATTTTAAACTAGCATTCATGAACTGTATACTCAGGGCCGTCTTTAACGCGGGGCAAACCGGGCAGCTGCCCCGGACCCTGTCCCTGCTGGGGGGCCCGAGGTAACTACCCTGTTTGCCCTCTGCCCGCAAACTATGGGGGCCCATCGGGTGGCCCATGCACTTAGGGCCACCCGGTGGGCCTGTGTCAGCAGGGACCCGGTCAGGCGCTGTGGCGCTTTAACAGCGCGACCGGGCCCTTGCTTTTCGGCAGCACTGGGAGGAAGTGACAGCCGTGCGTCACTTCCTCCCACAGAAGCAGGAGCCGCGCGGGAGGAAGGCGGACCAGCTGTTCCGGAGGGGGCCAGGCCGGGAGAGCTTAACTCCCAGCCACCCCAGCCAGCCCACTGGACCCCAGGGAAGCCACCCTCCAGGAAAAGGTAAGAAACTGGAGGGTGGTTATCAAATTTTGCATGAGTGCAAGTCTGTCAGTGTATCTGTATGTCTCTGTGTGTGAGAGTCTGTCAGTGTCTGTGTGGTTCAGTATGTCTGTATGTGTGTATGTCTGTCAGTGTGTCAGTATGTCTGTGTGTGAGTCTGTCAGTGTCTGTGTGGTTCAGTGTGTATGTGTGTTTCAGTATGGCTGTCAGTGTATGTCAAAATGTCTGGATGTGTGTTTGTCTGTCAGTGTCTGTGTGTATGTGTGTTTCAGCATGTCTGTCTGTCTGTGTGCCAGAATGTGTGTCAGTATGTCTGTGTCTGTGAGTCTGTCAGTGTCTGTGTGTCTCAGTATGGCTGTCTGTGAGTTTCAAAATGTCTGTATTTGTGTATATCTGTCAGTGTCTGTGTCTATGTGTGTTTCAGTCTGTCTGTGTGTGTGTGCCAGAATGTGTGTATGTCTGTCAGTATGTCTATGTGTGAGTCTGTCAGTGTGGTTCTGTATGTCTGTGTTTGTCAATATGTCTGTCAATGTCTGTGTGTATGTGTGTTTCAGTATGTCCGTCTGTCTGTGTGTATATGTGCCAGTATGTCTGTCAGTGTATCTGTATGTCTGTGTGTGTGAGAGTCCATCAGTGTCTGTGTGGTTCAGTATGTCTTTGTGTATGTGTGTTTCAGTATGGTTTTCTGTGTGTTAGTCTGTGTCAGTACGTCTGTCAGAATGTGTCTCTGTATCTGTATGTTGTCCATTTGTATTTGTGTGTGTATCTGTATGTGTCAGTGTTTGTATCTGTATATCTGCATGTGTGTCAGGTTGTGTATCTATGTGTCTGTCTGTCAGTGTGTGTGTCGGTGTATCTATAAGTGGTCAGTGTGTGTACCTTTGTATCTGCATGTATGTCAGTGTTTGTATCTGTGTGTGTGTCTATATGTGTGTCAGTGTATCTATATGTAGTCTGTGTGTATCTGTATGTTCTTGTATGTATCTATATGTGGTCAGTGTGTATCTGCATGTGTGTCAGGTAGTGTATTTGTGTGTATCTAGACGTAGTCCGGGGGCCCAAGTAAATGCTCGCCCAGGGTCCAATCTAAATTAAAGACGGCCCTGTGTATACTAAGATCTATAAATCCAAAGTGCAAAAAATAAGTTCAGTTATACGCATAAAACATGCTCAAACAAGAATATCAGTGCGGAAATTAATATAAAGAAATAAATCTAAATTACCCAAAAACCCTCAAATTCAATGTTGAACCAAACAGAAGTATTTTTCTGTGTTTTTAGTTGAAATTAATTCTGCCAACATAACAAAAATAAATGTTTTATATATAAATATATCAAACTGTTGATATATGGAGCCATGAACTATTCTTGCATTATGTGCATCTTTGAAAAATGTATTAGTTACAAATTGCCAGTTCAGCAGATCAAGTATATTCATGTGCCTGATAATCATTTATTTGCTCAACCCTTACTTCTCCCGTGGCATTTATAAAATATTGTTTAATTATCCTGGAAAGTGGCAATTGTCAAGCAAATCGCTGATAGGCTTAAGCTTCTCCCCAGGCTATACACGATAGTGAAGTATTTAGGAATGGCCTGATTCAGTCAGAAATTGCCATTTTCGTTCCTTTTCTCACCCATTGCCAACACTTTGTATGAACTGGCACTCTTTTCATTATGCAACTGGTTTGAAGTCAGTGCAGACCGGAGGACTAAAAGTGGATGACTACATTACTATCTGCAAAACTAATACACTATTCTTAATAGTGTATTATATAATAACCAGTAAAATTAGTGTGTGGTTTCTTTGAAGCAGAAAGACCTATTGTTTTTAAGGTCTTAGTGCTGCAAGGTAAGGGTTTAGTCATATTCAAAGGTATCTACAATATCAACACTAAAACCCATGGCAAGGCATTAAAACCCTTTAAGTCTGTGTGAGATTGCGTGTGTTACAATATTAATTCAGTTTGCCTAATTGTGGTCCTCAGGAGGTTAAATGAAACTTTTTGGATAAAAATGTAGTATTTAGTTACCACACGGTTGAGATGTTAACTGACAAGAGATGTGCAGCAGAGATAAGTAGAAACAGACTTGCATCTATTTTTTAAAGATCATTTTTATCTCTGATCTTTTTAATACAATCCCATGTGCCTTGGCATTAAATGCTAATTAGTCACAAGCAGAGGATCATGGGTGGTTAGGAGATTTGCATAGATATAATTTGATGAAAGGCTAATAAAAAAATGGCTTATTTTCAAATAATGGACTTAAAATAATCGATTTCATCATACCATCCACAGGCAAAAGTCAGTTAATTTTGTATCTTTCTTGCGGGAGATGCAATAATGCTTTACAGAGTGTTCTGTCCTAGAATCAAGGGGTTAATGACCCAATCTCACAAGCCTGTTAGAACTTTGTTGCTTTATTTCAACATCCGTAGACCACACACAAATATGTCCCCAACAATTAAATGATGCTCCCAAAAGAAAATCAATATAGAGGTATTACTGCCTGTTTCACCTATGACAATTACTGCCATTGTATGAATAGACTCGCAGAGTGCACCTCCTGTTCTTCTGTAATTGTTTTTTATTCTTATATCAGAGATGAGCTTGCCAGATGAATTTGTTCGACAACCACAGCTCCTAAAAGAAGATACACTACATAACTCTCACAATCTGCTATCTCAAGGCCAACAGCTTGAATTTTCATGTTGCTCTTTAATAAAATTAGAACAAACAGGTTGTCCTTGGGATTATTGCTATTCCTCTTTTCTACGTTATTTAACATTTATTTAAAATATATATATATTATTTTTAATAAACTTTCAAGAGGAGTGGAAATGGAAAGTGAAGGATATAAATTAAATGGAACAATGTGAAAACATAATTTGCAGTTATTTATGAAGTAGAATAATAGTAAACTTTTTGGAGTCTAGCATGTGCTTTGGATCATTCCTATCTATCAATCTCTCTGATAGGGCCACACTCCAATCTCTATAATATTGTAAAGTGCTGTGAATTAAGTTGGCAGTATATAAATGTCAATAATAGTAAGTCTGGCGTGGCTTGGAAGCCGAGGAAGATGGTGGTGTAAACTTTGTGCTCCCTGAAAGACTCCACACTCGTCCTCGCCTAAAGCACCTTTCCACCTAGAAAATGGGCAAGACACACCGAGCATCACAAGCCTCCAAACCCGCAGACACCCCCAGGGGGAACTCAAACCCCTCCCTGCGGCAATACCTAGTCGCTACGGCGAACACCGACCCGCAGGCCTCCAGAGACTCCTTGGCTTCAGAGGGACTGTTCACATCCTCCCCACGTGGGGAAGAGACCCAGACGGAGGCAACGGCCGCAACGGCCACAACCCCCGCAACGGTGCAACCCGACTGGGTGGACATGCTACGAAACTTACCTACTAAAGCGGATCTGAAAGCGGCCAACTCTGAACTCCATACCTCCATCACCGCGGAGCTCCTAGCTATACAGGAAGACTTCCACTGCCTGCACCAGAGAGTATCCCAACTCGAGGCAGATTGCGACCACATGTACCTGGCACAATCTGCAAACACAGATGCTTTAAGGCTCCGAACTCTCCAATTACAACAAATGGCCTACCACGTGGAGGACCTCGACAACCGAGGCTGGAGATAAAATATCAGAATCCGCAGGGTGCCGGAGGAGATCGACAACACCACCCCAGTACAGGCCAACCTGAGCGGATTATTCAACAGTCTCCTGGGCCGCCCTCCTCAGGACCCGATTGACTTTGTGAGAGTACACAGAGCACTGAGGCCAAAGGGCCCACCGGGGAGCCTGCCACGCGACATCATATGCTGTCTGATGGATTTCCAACTCAAAGAAGAAATACTCTGGAAGGCCAGAGACTCAGGCAGAGTGTTCCTAGAGGACACCGAAGTACAACTATATCCGGATCTATCACCCGCCACACTGGCCTACCGACGGGCCTTGCGCCCCTTCACCAGACAATTACAAGCGAACAAGCTCAAGTACAGCTGGTGCTTTCCAACCGGCTCGCAGGTCTCTACACCGAAAGGCCCCTTTGCGGTCAGGGACAGGAAAGACCTGGACGCACTTGCGGAGGAGCTCCAAATAACCCCTGCTCCAATACAATGGCCGGTTCCCTGGCGTTGTACACTCCCGCCCTGGGTCCCCAGAACCCGAACACCAGACCCCAGATACAGAAAACCACCTGACAGCAGGCAACCAGGCCCTCGGGGACCCCAGCTTGAGGGAGACAATCCGCACACTAGATGCAGGTGACGCTGGCCACCCAGCACAAGTAACGCAACTTTGATAACAAGATGCATGCTCCAGTGGCGGGAGGCTCTCACCATACCCAACTGGGACATTTCTAACCAACATGAAGCTATCCCAACATGTGGACTCACCCTCCATCACCGAACCTCTGACCCCGACAGCGCTACCCACAGATTCCATGAGAACGAGACACTCCTAGCAGCAAGATGAATTGAGCGGCCCCCCCTCGACCAACGCACTTCCCCACCACCACGAAGGCACTGAATTCCGACAAGAGGGGACATGCTTTAACCATAGGCGGCATCCGATGCAGGTTCGGGCCATGTCAGATCCTGGGACACCTGGACTCATCATCTATTATTGAACCGCAAGTACCCTACACACCTGGCCAGTTGGCCTAAGGGACAATAATACGAACACTGAACACAGACAATACATTTACCCTCAGGGAGACATGATGACAAGGGGGGGCTGGGAATGCCTTATATTTGGATCTTGTTCACGCACCTGGGAGACGGGGGAGATAAGGGTTGAGCCGACTGACCCGGGTAAGCGCTCCACCCCACAGGCCCCGTGATGACCTTCGAAGGAGCGGGCAGGGGGGGCGGGGGCCTGGCCCACTCGGAGAACCAGAGGAGTATGAGACACACCAATGGGGGTGGGAAGGGGCCTAAGGAGGAGCGGGAGTCAAAGGGAATCACAGGGGACAGAGCCACTTGCATACAGGGGATGCCCCAGCTGATCTCGGAGACCAACGGGCACGCAGCACCGGCAGGGCCCCACATGTTTAAATCCATCCACGCCCACGAAAGGCCTCTCACTGCTGTGGAACTGTAACTAGTATTGTTATTACTTTTATTATTATTAGTATTACTACGTCTATTTTCATTTTATATGGTTAATACTGACAGGACGATTGCTGGTAACACCGGCCTTGCCGCATCATTACCCCACTCCTGTTCAAATATTAATGTTGACGTTCACATGTTATACTATGCAATGTTAAATGCTCAGGTTGACGAGCTGACACCACACACGTCCTTTGGCGAGGACACCTACTTATAATAACATCACCACTAGAGCTGTACAGGGCAGACGCGGGTGACTGACGGAGTTAGACCGCAAAGAATAGGCAGAGACTGACGTACTGCCTGGGAGTGGCCCGCCACACGTGGCCACGACCTGCCGGGAGACCTTGACCCTCCTTCTATGCCCCCACGGGAGAGGCGTCAAAACCAGGAGAGCGGGACCTTCGGCCCACGGACAGGCTCAGGTCATCATGACCACCCTGATGCTAACACCCTAACGCCACCCGAGTGGAGGACACCTTAGACACCCCCCCTAACCAATCCCTGAACCCACCCTCTACCCCTCTCATCCCTAGAACTGACACACGACAACAAATACCCCGACGTACAACCAGCCACCAACCATGACACTCATGCCAGCCAACCTCACGATAATATCCATAAACGCAAAGGGGCTCAACAAACCAGAAAAGAGATCAACAGCCCTAAGCGAGTTTCACTCTACAAGAGCATCCATAGTCCTCATACAAGAGACACACTATAGAGAAGGGGCTCGACCTAAGATGCACGACCACAGATTCCCCAAGGAGTACTTCAGCGACTACCACGGGGGCAAAGCCCAGGGGGTCGCGATTCTTATGCATAGGGGAGTCCCCTTTATGGAGGGAGAAACACAGCCAGACCGGGAGGGTAGGTACATATTCGTGAAAGGGACGATCGCGGGTCATAAATACACATTCGCTAACATATATACCCCCAACCAGAGGCAATACAGGTTTCTCTCACGGACCCTACGCCAACTGAGGGAATTCACAGAGGGCATCTTAATACTGGGTGGAGACTTCAACTTAGCCCTGGACCAGAGATGGAATACATCCGCAGGTACCTCACACATCCCAGCCCAACACCGAGCCGCTCTCAAATCTCTTCTACACAAACAAAAGCTAGTAGACTGCTGGAGGGCCCACCATCCTGACGAAAGGGACTGCACGTTCTTTTCCCACCCCCACAACACATACACCAGGATCGACTACTTTTTCATGTCACACAACCACCTCCCCCTCATCCTACACACAGAACACGGCACAACCTGCTATTCTATGTGACAAACCCGGAGGTGTCTCGTCCCAATATACTAAAAGCTCTCCATGACTTCGGCATCATATCCAACCTGAAAATAAACTTCTCCAAATCATTTATACTCAATGTCAGTGTCCCAGAACACCGGGCGTCTTCAATACACCAAAACTACAACTTCCAATAGGCAACACACAAAATCAGATACCTAGGTATCTGGCTGACACAGAATAAGGGAAACCTATTCAGGGAAAACATCACCCTGATACACACACAATTCCACGCAGAGATGCAAGAATGGACATACCTGCACATCTCCTGGCTGGGTCGGATACAGGTAGTCAAGATGAGCTTCCTCCCACGCCTTCTCTATCTCTTTCAGACCATTCCCATAGCAATCCCCCGCACATTTTTTACCACACTACGCACAGCCCTCAGAAACTATATATGGAACGGGGAGTGACCCAGACTACAACACAACATACTAACACAACCAAAGGACAGGGGCGGCCTGTCCCTACCCGACTTCTCACTGTACTACAAGGCCTGCTACCTCCTGAGGATCATGGCATGGTCCAAAGGAGGAGTACACAAATTATGGAAACAGGCAGGACAGTGAGGCAGCGTTCCCACCGCAGTACTACCTTGGCTACCGCCGGGGGCACCAAGAGGAGCGCAGACATACTCCCGCTACACGAACGCCACACTACTGGAGTGGCACCGCACAAAGGGGGAACACAGCCTTTAGTCGTACCCATCACCCCTACTCCTAACAGATTCAGAGCTACATTGCAACACTCCCACAAGGGGCGATACTATCAAGAGCCCCCACCACATTCGAAGAAGCATGTGGTCTCCTTTATATATACCCAATAGCCCATGGGGTCTCCTTTATATATACCCAACTTCTGACATTAACACCAACCCCACAACCAAACTTCATGGGAAAGTGGGAAATGGCCTTAGGCCACACGCTCAACAAGGCAGAATGGGAAAAAATCTGCTATCTCACACACCACTGGTCTAGCTACAGTAAGAAACAAGAAACGGCATACAAATTATTGACTCTCTGGTACCGCACCCCCACGACACTACACGCGATGTCACCAGACCACACCCACTGTGCTGGAGATGTGAGGAGGAGAATGGCACACCCCTACACATCTGGTGGGAATGCAGAAAGATCCGCCCGTTCTGGAAGGGGATTCACACAATGTTGAAGCTCTTCTCGGACGGCCCACCACCCCTCAAAGCAGCATAAATGCTACTTCACCACACCAAGACCCCGCAGTCCCTCTACAAGAAATCCCTGACAATACGCATACTGAACATAGCAAAATCGGTGATACCGCAACATTGGAAGCAACCAACCACTCCATCACTGAGAACCTGGTTCTCCCAAATGGAGGAATTATGATCTCTTGAGGAACTAAACAGCACAGCAGCTGGCACACAACAAAGATACCTTAACACATGGACACACTGGCTACTGAAGACAACTAACCCAGACTTCACTGACAGACTACGACTTGACGACAGAGACTGACCACAGATCCCAATACAACCCAAACACCGGACACCGACGCATATCTGACATCCCAAAATCCACCCCAACCCATTTCCCCCCTCACACACAATACCTCCACCTATGGTTTCCAACCCAAACAGGATGGCAGAGATCCAATAGGGGACCCCCCCACAGCGGGAAGCAAAGGGAACCTAGACTGCAAGAACTCCACGCACCGCCCCAAGACCAACACCCACAATAAAACACTGAGGGACGTGACTAAGGCAACACAAACCACTAATCCACCAAGAACAGGTGAACCCACCACGGAACACACCTCATCGCAGGAACAAACCAGAATACGGCACATTAGACACGCACAAATCCGAAACGGAACCGACTATTAGACCTAGGCCACGTCCTGACCGCGACCTACCCAATAAGACATACTGTGAAACCGACACGGTACCCCCACAACAATTAAAGGGTTCATACATGCGGGACCTGCGTGTCCTATAAACACAGAGGGCCTGCGTGCCCACACCGAAATGTATACATTAACAACTGCTCCTCTCCTATTTCCTTGATATGTGGCGGACCTGCGAGTCCCAAAGCCAAACGTGACCCATCCCTGTACTGGAAAAACACAACAATAAAAATTATATTTATTAAAAAAAATAATAGTAAGTCTAATATAAATGAGAAACACCCCAGTACTCGGCAAATCGTGGTTTCATTCAGTCATCTCAAAACAACATTTTGACACCGCAAGTTTCTTTCTCACATTTTTTCAATGTATAATGCATAACGGGAGTACATGTTGTGATGCACATATGTATCAGCAGATTAATGCTCGCAATTTTCAATGTATCAACTACTGCGACAGATTATACATTTTTAGCAAACAATCCAGTTCAGCGTGTGGATGTGGAAGTAGTAAAAAATAATAAATCTTAATATAAACAAAAAATAACGTATTATATATAATTATTATATTAATCATTTAATTAAAATATACTGTTTTTATATGAACCATGTTTTGGAAAAATATTACAATTTTAATTAAATTTATATTAATAAATACTTTTTTTTGTATTTTTAAACAGCTCTAAAATCTTGGACTTTATTAATTGTTCTAACATTTGCAATTTGTACAGAAACACAAAGATGGTTAAGTATTGAGCCATATGGGAAAGGAGGTGAAATATCCCAGGAGAAGTAAAGAAGACTCAGCTTCAGGGCCTATTATTGAAACAATGAGTTAAATAGAAGTTTAGAAAGTGTTTGTATAACCATTCAGTGGTGCCAGTTTTGGGGTCATTACAGAAAA